ATACAAACCTTATTAAATTGCTCATTTAACTTTTCTGCTCTTGATCAAATTTTGAGTTTAATCAAACAATTTATTTAAAAGAATTTGAAAATTACGTAAAAATCTTTAAACTCTTTATAATTAATTTTTTAGAATCTCATTATCATTATTTTCTTATGTGATATTATAAATCTATTTAGCCATATATATTTAAAATAATAAGCTTTTTTTTTAAACCCCTTAAGTGTCTATTTAATTTTTATAAATTAATACTTTGTGTTTTTAGATTCATTTGATCTTAAAAATATTTTTGCACATTACGCAGAATAATACAAATATTCTAATTAAGACAAACTTTAAATAAGAAATTTAATAATTTAAGCCTTTGTCTTAATTAATCTATTTTTGGGTTAACTATTTTAATATAGTTTTGATTCAAATTGATATTTTTGACTTAAATATTTGAATTAAAATTTTTGAGTAAAATTAATAAAACTATTAAAGATTCCAGCGACTCTCTTAAAGTAGAAATTTCTTTGAATCTTCTTTATACTTAAAATTCACCCGATGCATCTATTCCTAAGATAGGTTATTAATTATCATGTTTTTTTTCAGGATTAAAAATAGATATTTTCTGTTCTTCTGGTTTAGAGGAAAGAGAATTTATTTATTATTATTCTTGCTCTTCCTAACTTTAGCTTTGCTATAATTTCTAAATCATTTTTTTTTGATACAAAATTTTTCCTCCTATTGCATTTATTAATTGAATAAATTATTGAAAATTTCTGATGTAAGAAATGAATTTTTTTAAAGATAAAATATATATTAAATGATGTGAAAATTGAATAATTTTCAAAATGACTAGAAAGAATTTTTTGTTTTGATAAAATATAAATAACAATTTAGTTTATTAGAATTTTAGAAATTATGAAATAATAAAATTTTGATTTATTTATCAAAATGAACTGATAATCATGCTAGTTCTGCTCAAATAATTATCATTGATTTAGTCTAATTTAGTTGTGAATTTTTTGATTTATTCTTAATTTCTAAATTATTGATTGTTAATTTTTGATTTAATTTGATTAGAACTGGAATTAATATTATCTTTTAATTCTAAGATTGGCTTAGCATAACTAAATAAATATTTCTTAATTTTTTTATAGTTATTTTCAATTCGCTTTCTTTTTTGACAACTATTTTCTAAATGTTTTTTAAGAAATGGATGTTTCATAGTCCAAGGAGCTAATTCTCTAATTTTATCTCTAATTTTATCAAATTATCCTTATAATTCAATCCAATAAGACTTTAATAGATGATTAAATAGTAAGAATAAATAAAAGAAGTTAAGGATAGCCAAAATAATAAAATAAGGGATTTGAAGTTAAAATGAGCTATAGAATTCATCAATATATATTCCAAAGCCTAGAATAATAGAGATCTAACAAACTTTAGCTGATAAGGCATCTAATTAATTAAGATTATGTAATTAATATGGTTTAAATCTATGATTTAATTCAGAATATAAAAAGAGAACTAATAGAATTAGAGTACCTTTTCGAATAATATTTTCTTCATAATAGGAGAGAAAGATGATTAACAATTCTTTTTCAACAATTTTAACGATTTCCCAAAAGAATGCACTTGTTTTATATTCATTATATAAATATCCATATAATTGTCTAATTCTTCTTTGATTGAGAGCAGATCTATTAATGTATAATGCTAGATAAAATAAAGTTGGAATTAATAGGGCAATTAGAAATATACCAGGTAAACAAAAGAGAAGTAACCAAATAAAATGTTAAGAAGTGTCATATCTATATGCAACATTAGCTTAAATCCATTTAAAAGAGGAAATAGAACGAAATGAAATTAATGAAATAAAACCTCCTACTAAATTAGGTTGAATATAGATGTATATATAAATGAATGTAGTAGTTATTACACTTAAACGATATTGTATATAGCCACTTTTAACAATAATAGAATACGTTCCTAAAAATAAAAAAATGTATATAAATGGCATGAGTACTTACCATATTAATCTAATATAATGAATATCTATAGAAAAGATTGATATTAAGAAACAATCAAGAGAATACGTCATTGTTTAAATTGGATTACCTATGGAATTGAATAAATTAGTTAAACCAATAGAAAAGTTTATTTTAAAAGTAGTAATTACAGATAATATTTGTAAATGATTAGTAACCATTTTAATTAGAATAGCAGATTATGATTAATTAGATTTCTTAATGATCTTCAATTTAGTCATTTAAAGTTAAATGGATATTTAATTAAGTAAAACAACTGTACTCTTTACTGAAATAAAAATAGATATTAATGTCCTTAAATTATATAAAATATATACCAAATGCTAATAGAGATAATAATAATTATATTTTGAGAATTATTCTAACAAGAACTACAAGAATATTTATTATTTGTTGAAAACTATCCAGAACCTCTAATATCATAATTATCACACTCTTCACATAATGCACCAATATGTCCAATAGAACAAGAATTATCTCCTTATTACCAACCTCCATTACAATTTTTAAGTAAATTAATACATTAACTAATCGAGTCTGTATTAAAATATGGCCTCCAAAATCCTTCTCTTAAATTAAGTTAAGCTGATTTAATCTCTTATGTTGATATTTCATCTTTTAATTAACATTTTTATGCATTTATAATTAATGAATATTATCCTAATTCTGGATCACAAGGAATACAGATATTATTTAAAGGTTTCTTAATTTCACCCATCTAACAAGGAAAAGATTTGACATTCATTCTTAAGTAATAATTTTAATGATATGAAATGATTTAATTTAATTTACCTATCTTTGGTATTTAAATTGAACTACAATTAAATTATAATTGTAATGTCTTATTTAATTCATCATCTAAATATATTATCATTTGATCTAAATTATAATCATTAATATTAAAATCAACCTTATCAATATTTGTAAAATTATTTGTAAATTCACTTTCTAATTTATCATCAAGTAATCTCCCTCTGATCCAACATTAAGTATTATTTAAATCTTTTATAATAGAACCATGTATATCTAAAGCAACTATTCTAAAATGTAAATTATATGGTTTATATTCTGCTTATTACCAATCAAAATATTTATAATCCCAAATTTATTATCCATTAGGAAGATAAATAATATTTGAATATATATTCTTCATTACTTCATATTCTTTTATTTTAACTTCTTCTATAACTAAATCTTCTCTCTAAAATATTTTTATCTTTGGTAAATTATTCTTTAAATCTACTTAAATAGACAACTAAGAAGGAATTTAAGCAATATTATCTCCATAATCTTCAGCTATATTATCAGAAACAATTGAGCCTAATAATGTCATATTTTAATTGATTTGTTCTGTCAAAAATATTCCACCCCCAATATTAGCTTTATTATTTTAAATAATTGATTATTCCATAAAAATATTCTCTCTTCCAATTACTAAAATTGCTCCTCCTCTATTTATAGCTTAATTGTATTTTAAATTAGATTATTTTATTAAAGATCTTACATCCTGTATTCTTAAACATGTACCTTCATAACTATCATTGGAATCACAGATATAATTTAATATTTTTAGTTGATAATCTTATGTGTTTATATATTAAATGATATTTTATAGCATACGATTTCGTTATATACTCTTAATAATATTTATACAACTTAATTTACCACATTTATTTCTCTAAACATTAAGAGACTTTATATTTATAAGACTTTGACCTTCTTATAATAGTATGTTTAATAATCCATTATCACATATTTCACAATTTATATCTTATAATACTAATTCTTATAGTTTTATATACGATTAAAATGGAATAATACTTATAACACTCGTAGTTTCATTACCTTTTTAAGCTCTTATCATATTAATAATACAGACTGTATTTATATCAAAAACTTAATTATTATATTTTGGTAAAATATTAGGAGCTTTCCTTTCATAAGAATTATTAAAACACTAAAAAGATTTATAAGGTACTTAATTTATTTGTTAAATTAAGCATTCAGTTTTATATGGAATCATAGCTAAAATAGAAATTTTAAATATTTAACAATCACTGATATATATTTATGAATTACTATTATCACTTATCAGTTATATTACAGAATTCAAAAATATTGACTCTGTAATAATTAATTTTATTATTTATAATTCAAATATATTGAATATCTAAAGCAATGATTCATAATTTAGATTCATTGCCAAAATATTTGAAAATTTAATCATTTATGTATTATAAATACAAAATAAATATCTTTAATAACCTAATTATTTTAATTCCTATGAATCTTCTAAATTATTAAATTGATTCAAAAATTACATTAAACCTGTGTAAGAATTATTGATTTTAATATTATCTAAACTTATCTAATTAGATGTATTAGATGAAGTTGAAAATTCAGTATAAATTACTGATCCTTATAAAGCATAGACATCTTAGATTTATACATTAGATATCCATATTGATAAATTACCTAAATTATTAATCAAATAAAGAAAACCCCCTTTCTATCTGCAATAAATATCATTTAATTTAACTTTATCTATAATTATCTGAGCTTCAACTATCCTAATAGTATCAAATAATATGGCACCACCATTTTCATCTTTTTACAAAAATAATGATTTTATTGATGAAAATTCTACATTCTATATTAGACATTTTGCATGATTCTCAAGAGATATATATAATCCAGTACCAACTGAATTAAATATATTTACATTTGTTATTTCAATATATTAACAAACCAATTTAGCATTTCCAGTTTACACTTTAATTGGAAAAATTTGGATTAAATTTTCAAGGAAAATCTCTTAATTCTTTACAAATCCCCATAAAATATGAGATTGTAAAATGTTATAATTGAAAATGCAATTATATTAAAATATTATGTTGTTCATAATTATTTTCTTAGTTTTCAAGAAAATAATATTTTATGAAGAATTAGTAACTAGATTAGATTAGATTGTTAAATTTTAAAGTTTTAAAGTACATTGAGAACAATCAAAATTAAAAATTAAAGCATTATTTATGAGATCATTTTGTTAATATTAATGCATTACATTTCTCTTTATCACGGAATTAGAAATAGTTATTTCATATTCTGATTATGATGTTAATTACATTATTGATGCTTGCTTTAATTAATCTGTAATTAATATAAGATTATTATTAATGTTTAATTCATAAAGTTCAATTACTTTAGACATAGTTATCATTTCTATTGAAGATTGAATATTAATTATAGGATAATTAATGATTGATACTGATTCAATTAATAATTAATAAATTCTTATGATTTATAAATCATACAAATAAAGCGATGTAAAATATAAATTTGATTCTATATCTTTTTGAACACAATCAAAATATTAATGTAGTCCTTAAATTTTATATTATTAATCCTATAAAATTCTAACTAATTTTAATTTCAAGGATATTCCTTTTTAAATAACAATATCTTTAATTCCAAAACTTCTTGTAATTGTTAAATTATTTATTTCTATTATCTCTGCTTCCAAAAAGATTAAAGATTCATCCTATTTATCAAATAATGGTTAAATTGATTAAATATCAAATGAATTAGAATTAAGAATTAAACTATTAAAAAACAAATATTTATTTGAATCCTAATTGTTTTTTATTCTAATAAATTTAGAGCCTTTGTCATTGAAATTTAATTCAAATTTAAGATAATTAAAATATAAATTTTTTGATGAGTAATCTGAATTATTAAAAACAGCTGAACCATTCAAAATTTTATTTTCAATGAAATTAAAATTGTTAACATAAAAGAATGATTTCAAACCGAATATTGTGGAATTAATTAAATTATTTTAATACATTTTAACTTATATGACTTAAATGCTAAATAATTGATTTCCTCCTATAAAATTTGCAATGTCTGTTAATTAACTATTTTAAATAATTACATTTTAAATCAAAAGTTATCCAGAAGTTTAATTTACAAGTTATGAAAATTGAAATATTGAGCTAATATTTGATTGCATAAAATATAGAGTATCACTTGATTTGCTATTTATGTAAAATACACTTAATGAATTGAATTAGCAATTATCTATTTTAAGATTAGAAATTTAGATAATTTAAATAGAATTAATTTAATCAATCATAATAAATGCTAAAATGTCTGTTAAATTTAGATTTTATGTATGAAAATTATCAATACGTACATAAGTAGAATTCCATATTAAAATTTAAGATTAATCCTAAATGAAATTACTTTCATATCTAATATTCTTGAGTTCTATTGTTTATACAAATACGCTTAAAAAGAATAATTACTTAAGATTATGAACTGATAATGGTGATAAAATGATTCCTTCAATATGAACTTTATTAAAATTTACAATAGATATTATTCTATCATATAAAAATACTGTATTATCGTTTCCATAAAGTTGTAGTTGAACATTACTAAATTAAATAAATTACATAAATATACATAGCTGAGAATATATTTTAACTGAATTGTTACTTAATACTTTTATTGTTATTAATTATGCAAGTTTATGAGGTAAAGCTAAAAATTCTTATAATAATAGATTTAATAACTAATTCATTAGCCATTTGATAAAATTCATTTTATTCGTACTAAAAATGAAACAATAATTTACTTATAAAAAACTAGAATTAGAAAATAAATCATCAATTAATAGATTTGATTGTTTGAAATGATATAAATCTTCTTCTCTTTCAAAAGATTCAATTAATTTGTAATACTATTAATGAGAACAATGAAGATTTAAATTAATTTAAATTTCTTTCATACAAGGATAAGAAGGACAATCAATATACATTTTTAAATCAGTATCAAAATATCCTTTTTATTTTGATAAACATTGATTTGTATAGTATTAAAAGTTTAAATTATTAAATAGAGGATTAATATCTGAAATTTCATTATCGTCTCTTAATTTACATAATAAACAATCTCCAGGACATTATATACATTAATTATTATGTAGACTTAAACTTCTTTTACCTTGAATAGATGGGCACTATACACAAATATTTTAATAATTAATAATTTANTTTACAAGTTATGAAAATTGAAATATTGAGCTAATATTTGATTGCATAAAATATAGAGTATCACTTGATTTGCTATTTATGTAAAATACACTTAATGAATTGAATTAGCAATTATCTATTTTAAGATTAGAAATTTAGATAATTTAAATAGAATTAATTTAATCAATCATAATAAATGCTAAAATGTCTGTTAAATTTAGATTTTATGTATGAAAATTATCAATACGTACATAAGTAGAATTCCATATTAAAATTTAAGATTAATCCTAAATGAAATTACTTTCATATCTAATATTCTTGAGTTCTATTGTTTATACAAATACGCTTAAAAAGAATAATTACTTAAGATTATGAACTGATAATGGTGATAAAATGATTCCTTCAATATGAACTTTATTAAAATTTACAATAGATATTATTCTATCATATAAAAATACTGTATTATCGTTTCCATAAAGTTGTAGTTGAACATTACTAAATTAAATAAATTACATAAATATACATAGCTGAGAATATATTTTAACTGAATTGTTACTTAATACTTTTATTGTTATTAATTATGCAAGTTTATGAGGTAAAGCTAAAAATTCTTATAATAATAGATTTAATAACTAATTCATTAGCCATTTGATAAAATTCATTTTATTCGTACTAAAAATGAAACAATAATTTACTTATAAAAAACTAGAATTAGAAAATAAATCATCAATTAATAGATTTGATTGTTTGAAATGATATAAATCTTCTTCTCTTTCAAAAGATTCAATTAATTTGTAATACTATTAATGAGAACAATGAAGATTTAAATTAATTTAAATTTCTTTCATACAAGGATAAGAAGGACAATCAATATACATTTTTAAATCAGTATCAAAATATCCTTTTTATTTTGATAAACATTGATTTGTATAGTATTAAAAGTTTAAATTATTAAATAGAGGATTAATATCTGAAATTTCATTATCGTCTCTTAATTTACATAATAAACAATCTCCAGGACATTATATACATTAATTATTATGTAGACTTAAACTTCTTTTACCTTGAATAGATGGGCACTATACACAAATATTTTAATAATTAATAATTTAACATTTTAAACATGTTTCAGGACATATTTCAATACATTTTCCATTATAAATTTGATATCCTTGGAGACAAAATTAGCATAGAATTTCATAATCATAATAATTTTAACTAAGTCCATTATCAATAAAAGAATGAGATTATAAATCATCATCAATAACTAATCTATAGTAAGCACGAATTTAATTTTTCCAATTATCTTTAGATATTCTATTTTATTAATAACAAATTAAACAATTAAGTTCTTAAGGACAAGGTATACATAATCCAGTTAATTTTTCTGCATAATATCCATTATTACATTAAATACAAATATAAGAAACTTTAGTATTAATTTATCCAATCAAACAAATATGACAATTATAATTAAGACAAGTACTTTCAGTAAGAAATGAAATAGGATCATTATAACTTTTCATATTTGGTCCAAATAAACAAATTTCTTTATATTAAGTTGTTATTGAAATGTAACTATAATAACATTCATCAGATAATTATATTTAACATTCATTAGTATCCTCATTATAAGTATGTTTTAATTAACATTATCCACATGTTATTTTAGTATCACTAATAAATGAATTAAACTCATAATCTAATGAATTAATGGATTTATCATTTATAGACACTTCAAAAGCATATAAACAATTTTTTATAGGATTTTCAAAACAATCTCGACCATTCAAAGAGAGATAATATTTCTAATCATTTATACATTTCAAACATTTCATAATTACAACATTACTATTTTTAATCGATTAAAATTAACAAGTTTAGCAATTGTATCCACATTTTATACAATCTTCACCTTTAATTTAATATCCATCTGGACATTCAAGACATTCTAAATTTCCATCATTGAATTAACATTTCTTACAAAAATTAGAGCATAGTAAACAGCGATTTTCATATAAATAATATCCTACATCACATTCTAAACAATTATATGATTAAAATTCAGATTTTATACAATTAGATATAGATTATTAACATTTGTTATCATAAAAATAATGATCTTATTTACACATAATATGAATAGGTTGAAATATATGACTTTATTGTTCTATTTTAAAACAGTTCTATAAATTATTTTAAATATCACAATAATCTTAAACTCCTTCTAATAAAACTAAACTAGCAGTATAATCAATTAAATAAGTATCATAATTAAGAGGAGATCTTTATTATTTTCTATAAGCTATCTTTCCTAAATCTCCATCAACTATTAAATCTTATTTACATACGGGTTTTAAAAACCAAGTAGTTGGATATAATAAACAATCTGCACATAAGATATGAGTTTGGCTTTTTTAAGGACTATTAATAGATTTTTATTAATTTAAATATATACCATGATAGACATTATTAGATTGTAGGCAAAAAGAACTATCCAACATCACATATATAAGTTGTCTAATATATTGATATATCTAAAAAAGATATTGAAGAAAAGATCTGAAAGTAAGATTTACATTCACCGAATTATTCAATATAACCAAATGAACATGAACATGTTTTCAAATCTTCAGATAATATTCTATATTATTATTTATAACATTCTAAACAATTAGTTGATAATGGACCATCACATGTATTACAAGTATAATGACAACCTACTAATTAATTAATTTAAAAAATACGTGACATTAATTCTGCATTATTAGTTAAATAATTATATCTAAATTTCACATTTGCCAATTAACCTCTAAGCCTCTTTAATATAGTACGATCACTTCCAATAATTGCATAATATTTTGTATTAGTAAATAAACCCAGTGCTTCTTTATCTGAAAACTGTTCATTAATTATATTATTGGAAGCTATAAATTTAAAAGATACTTTTGCTCCATAGTTTTATTCATAATTAAATTATACCATGTGCCATTATCTTAATTATTTATAATAATATGAATCATCATCTCTAAATTTAAATCTTGACTAATAATTTTAATTCACAGGTCCAAATATTGGAGTAGAATACATATGTGATATTACATCATAACCACATTTCTATGGATTTTAAAGATCTAAATCAACAGTTATTTTAACAAGTTCATCTCCCAATCTTAATTCATCACCATAATTCTAAAATATTGTAAGTCTAAGTAATAAATAAGTAGTTGTGTAACTAGCTTCTTAAAAATCATATTTAACCCAACCAGAAAAATCGAATCTATTACCTATTTAATCTATTTCTTTTATTAATTAAGTATTTCCATCAAATGTAAATACATCTTCTATCAAAATAACTATCTATTCCTCATCTATTAATTTAGGCACTCTACAGTTTTTATATATCCATTCAAAATAAATATTTGGTTCAATGTTCTATTATATAAGTTTTGATAATCTTCCTCTAAATATACCTAGAGAATATTTATTAATAACCTATTATCATATATATAATTAATTACAATTCCAGTACCTCCTATTATCAAAGTTACTTTATTCTCATTTTTAATTCTTTCTTATAAATTATAATAATTAACAGATTCTGAACTTTAAAATTTTATTTATTATTATTCAATTGTAATCATACTTAAGATCCATGTACCTTCATAATTTCTTTAATCAAAATCATAATTGTATATATTGTCTTATTACTCTGTATTTATATGAATACTATGAAAAACTCCATTTTCTAATCCTTAAACAAAATCAACGTACATAAACATTATTACAGATTAATCATTTTCTGATTTCATTATGAATAACAGTTATTAATTTCTATTATCTGAAACCAATTATTCTTCTACTTCTGGATATACACTTACATCCCAAGATGGAATACAAAAACTCCAAAAGCTAAATGATTATGATGAACTTAATAATTCAACAGATGAAATTTATATTTGATTTTTATTACTTAATAAACTCTACTCATAATCTCTAAATGGACATCCATTTATTATAAAAGGCATTATTGCAATTACAATTCTCAAAACTATTCCAAGCTTATCATACCTATCCATTCTAATTAAAATATTACTTTTTAAAATTAAAAATTTTTTAATATCATTTAAACAATCATAAATCAATTTTGGGTATGTCATTTTTTTTAAAATGAACATCCACCTAAATTTTATAATTCAATCAACAAAAAATTTTTTATTTGTAAACTTAGTTATGCCTTCAATTTAAAATTTATTAGCATTTTAATTCAAAAAAAATTCATAAATTATACAAATAAGATTTATTTCTTAAGAAAGATAATTATCATTAATTTTCTAATAATAAATAACATTCATAATTAATTTAGATAATGCGATATTTTTTTGAATGTTTTAGGACTTTAAAAACAATAATATATTTTTAAAATTTATTTTCAATTTAGCATATTTAAAATTATAAAAGCAATTAGTCTATCACTGTTAATTCAAATAAAAAGTGATATTTTCGGCAATATAAATAATATGATTTCTATCTTAAGAAATTAACTTGAATAATGTAAAAAAATATATTTGCCATACACATCAGAAATAATGTTAATATTTTAAGTAGAATGTGCATGTTTTAATTTAAAAACCAATCACTAATTATAATTACATTAATAATTTATAAGAATTAATCAATAAATTCTACTTATTTTTTTAATTATGAAAATTAAGAGTTTCAAAAAGTTATGGTTGTGTTGATTAGTTATCATTACCAATCATGATTATTCTTATTTTTGCTCACAGATAATTGATGATGGCTATTTAATTATAATCTAATTAATAAAAATAATAATTTATAAATATTTATATTTCAACAATTTATTAGATTATTAATTATCCAAATATCTAACAAAATCATGAAAATGTCTTTTTGATTAATTGTTTCAACTGCAAGTATTGTCTTATACATTTCGCGTAATTTCGTATTTGAATGAAATATATTGAGATTCTAAAAAAATAAATAAGTTTTTATAACTATATATTTTATAAATTTGAGATCTATTATATTGATAAAATCTTCTTTATAAAATAATATGGTTAATTAAGAATGAATATAATAGAATTTTAGTCACTAATAATATTATATTAATTTGAATAATCTAATTTAATATATTTATCAATCATATTAATTTTCTCCCCTAAGATAATATATTAAAATCTAATACATAAATTGAAATTCCCCCTCTAACTCATCTAATCCATAAATCCACTACCTACACATCCTAATCCATTTTCCAATTTTTTATCCTTAAATGTATTCTCCTTCGAAAATAGTTTGCTCTTTACTAGTTAATATAAATACTGATAATTACTATCTAAAATCATCGCTTAATTCTATCCATTTTCCAGTTTTCAAATTTGAATGATCGAAATTTCCTCCACCACTAAATTATTCTATTACAATATTTACATTAATTCATTATTATTAATAATATCCCATCTACCAATTTTTCTACCATTTAAATATTAACCTTTATATTTGACTTAATTATCACTAATATTTTATTTTAATTCATAATACTCATTAAATATATCACTCTCTTCTATCCAATAATCATGTTTTAAATTTTGATTATTATACAATCCAGAATGTCTAATTTTATAATTATTTTTATTTCTTACATTTTATCAAAATTTTCTCGTCCATACATTCTGTAATTAATATCCCAATTTCCAACTTTTTTTCCTTTCTTATATTCGCCATTATAAATAATTTAATTCAAACTATTTTAAATGATTGTTGTAAAATAAATACCAATAAAATTTATTATTTAAATCCATCCATTTACCTTCCTTTAAACCTAATTCATTATAGAAACCTCCTCCACTATATAATTATTTATTTATTACATTTTATCTTTACTTCTATTTCCATATTTTTTTTAATAATAAATTTCCCACTCTCCTTATTTCTTACCAAACTTATATTCCCCAACATAAGATACTTAATTATCACTAAAATTATAATTTCTTATTTTTAATTACCAATCAAAAGATTCACTTATATCAATCCATATCCCATTTTTAATTCCTAATTGATCATATTATCCTCCACCACTTATATAATCTTATATATATACATTTTTACAAAAGGACTTTCACTACTATCACGAAAATTGATTTCCCATAAACCTATTTTTAATCCATTTTTATAAACACCTTAATAAGTGATTTAACCCCATCTATTTAAATATTTATATATTGTGAATCAAAATACCCATAATAATTATCATTTATATCTATCCATTTACCATTTTTATAACCTTATTCATCATAATTTCCACCACCACTAAATAGTATTTTTAATATAAATAATTTACATCTAATTATTATTATAATTAAAATTCCATCTACCTATCTTTTAACCTTTTTTATATTCACCTATTAAAATTACTTAACCATAACTAATATTGATATTTGTAACATAAATACTCATAGAATTTATCACTTAATTCAATCCATTTTCCATTTTTCAATCCTTAATTATCATATAAACCACTGCCACTATATATTATTTTAACTTATTTCTTACATTAATTCTCCTCTTAATTTTATATCCCAATTCCCAATTCTTTTATTATCTTAATAATCACCATGAAATGTGACTTGACTCCAACTAAATCATATATTAGTAAATCATTACTCCCAATAATTATCATTTAAATCTATCCATTTACCATTTTTATAACCTTATTCATTATAAAATCCACCATCACTAAATAATAAGTATTTATACATTTCTGTATTTCCATAAATATATTTCCAATATCCTTTTCTTTTATCATTTTCATATTTCCCAACTTCATAAACTTATGCTTTGCTTATTAATAATAATTATAATTTTTATTACCTCCAATAATTCTTAATTACTTCTTTCCATTATCCTTACCTTTTACCATCATCACAATATTCTCCACCAGCATCTTATAAAATCTCTCCTTTCCAAGCAATTTTCCATTTTCCAATTTTCTGAAACTTCTTACCATATCTCCCATACCATGATAAATGTTGTATTTATTCAAAATTTGTCATTATCTCAATTGATTTCGATTAATCTTTGATTTCTTCACTAAATTTTATGATATTATTTTAGATACATTCTAAGTATGGTTCCATCATCTGTTATGTATTTGATTTCATTTTAGTTTTAAATAACTTTAAATTTGTTTTTAATCAGCAACATTCTGTACCATACTTCACCATTATATTCAGATATGATTTCTTATGGTTAATCATTTATTAATTGATTCTAAGTAAAATCTCTGTCAAAATTCATTTTTTTAATTATTAATGTTAATTCATAATATACCATAAATCTTAAAAATATAGTATATTTATTTAGATAAATGATATAAAAACTAAAGAAAGAACTAATTTAATATTTATTAGAATTATTGAAATTGTTCGCCGTAAAAAACCATTTTATTCACTTTCTTTACATCTATTTAAAGTTTATGGATTTACTAGATAAATTAATTAATTTATTTAATTAATTTATTTAATTTATTAACAAAGTGGTTTTTTGTTGTGCAATTTTAAATAAAAAATTTCTATAATTTATTATTAATTAAAGAAAAGGAATAAAATTATATAATTTATAATTCTTATCTTCCTTTTTTGATGTTTGATTCAAGCTCTATCTAATAAATTTGGAAAGAGTCTCTACTTTATTTATATCTAATAATTATTAATAAAGATTAAGCTTATCTATATGATTTTCTAATTCTATCCAATTAAAATGCTTAATATTCTTATCGTAATTTATTATTTTTATGAATAAATATTTATAATTAATATTGTGAAATATATAATCATAGTTTATATAAATTTAGATTATTTTTTTAAGTAGCATTTGTCTCTAACAAATTTTAAAATAATCAAACTACTGATATCCTATTTTATAAATTATTTTGATTTAGAAAAAGTTAAATTGAATAATTATTTAATAGGATAGGAATTATTTTTTAAGTCAAAAAAATTAAAATTCTTATTCATCAAATGACCAATAATAGACGTGGATGAAAAATAAGAAATGAATTGGAGAAAAATTAATATTACAAAGTGAGAAAACATTTGATCTAATATAAATTAAAATATTATAATTAGAATAATATATAATCTATAAATCATATTTTTTATAATTACTTTAAACAAAGATGATAGAAATTTTAGCTATTTTCTTTTATAAATTTTAGTAATAAGATCAATATTGAATCTGTATTTCTCTTCAAAATTGATCTTTCATATAAAAGATAATTTAGAAAATAGCTAAAATTTCTAGAACCTTTGTTCAATTCTCTATTATAAATTTCTAGATTTTGAATTCTATTTGAATAAAAAATCCTCCCAATCAATAACCTTTATTGTTATAGGCCATAATAATTAATATTTCTGTTTGGATTTCCTTTCAATATTCAATAGACAAAGCCTTATTATATATTATAAAATACTATGTTGTAAAAGATTATTCTGCTCAATTATTATATTTTCTCTAATGGATTAATTTCGATTGCTTTTCTTGATTAAAATCCAAAGGTAATTGTAAATTTGGATCACAGAAAAACAATCAAAGTCAACCTAAAGCTGGGCTTCAGAAAATGCCACAATATTAAATTTATTAATAAAAATCTTATCATTACCACAAATTAAATCTCAAATTATAATAATTCAGTTTTAATATGATGCTAAAAAAACTCAATTTTCTAATATGTAGTTATCCTAAATAATTAATGATTTTTAGACACGTAAAAACAAAAATCATTTTGCCATAAACATTTTACCCTTCTAAAAAAAATGAATATTTATGCAACCTCAGATAAGATTGCTGTATTAATTAAATTTATTACATCATTTCAAACTAAAAACCTGCAATATATTTTAATTAATAATATAAAGCGTAAGTTTTCATTAATTTCATTTCCATAAAAAAAAAAAATATAAAATTAACTACTTTAGTGGAATCAAATTATATGATATCCTTTAATAACTTTTTACTAATACTTAAGAAATTTAAATTGAGTCAAACTAATTTATATTCGACATTTACATTCGAAAATAGAGCAAAATAAAATGAAATTAAAAAAAATAATTACTAATGAGATCAAAAATCACTGTTTCTAATTTGGAGGTAAAATATATATTTTTTTTAAATTGTTTATATTAACCCTATACAATGGTTAGTCTCATTTTTAAGATTTATACGATGAAGCTTAATTATCAAATAGAATTTAATAAAATTTAAGAGTAAATTTATGTTATTAAATTGATTAATTATGTAATAATTAACTTAAGTTTTCATTTAAAGGAATTAAGATAAATCTCAAAAAATATAATTTGGCTTTTAGTAAATGCATTTATCAGATTGAAATCATAATATTCACAACAACAAAAATAATTTTAACTAATTTCAATTAAAAGTATCCTAAATTAGAATAATATATAATATTGATAAAAAGGAAATTTTGACAATATTATAATTTTTATAATCATATAATTATTAAATGAAATCAAACTTTATCAATGCATATTTGTATAAAATATTTCTATCATATTTTTATACCTTAAGAATAATTTGATTTAAATGAAATATCATAATAATAATAAAAGGTTTCTTGATTTTACACCTATTTTATTAAGCCCATTTTTGTAAAACAAAGATGTAATAGTTTATTTATAAATAAATTAGAGTTCATTATTTGATTTATATATGAAAATAATAATTAAATGGAAAAAAATAAATTTCAACTAATATTTTGTAAAATGAACAATGAAGATTACAAGGTTTTAGTATTATTTATTTTTGAAATTATTGATAAACAATAATTTAAGAAAATTAAAAAAAATTTATAAAAGCCAAATAAAAGTTTTGTTTAAAATGATTAGTATAATCATTTTTAAAACATAATTGATTTATAATACAATAAGATATTATCTCTTATATATTAATTAAAAACATAATGTCAAATCGATTATTTAAAAATTTTATTTTATCTTTAGTTCTGCTATTTTTTTTTATAATGCTAATATGAGCTTTTATAGATTGTTGAATCAATTAAAAAGAAATGTGGTAGAGTAATGAGTGTTTAATAGTTACTATTTTATCTAATTATTTTTAATAATGCGAATAATTAAAAACAGAATTTTTATTTTTTTTTAATAATACACTTTTTTATTATTATTCGATCATAAATAAACTATTTTGAAGTAACAGAGGACAATAAGAGTATTTATAAAATAGGAATTATAATATTTTAATGCAAATTACATGAGAAGTTATAAAATATTATTGATTTTAGATAATCTTTAAATGCTATTGTATAATTAATAGTTTGAAGATTATGTGGATATGATTTAGCAATTGAATAATAGATTTGTAAAATAAAATTATCTTTTTAAACCAATTTAGAGAAAATCCTTGAGAAATTGATAAATCATTTTAAAATTGTGAGATAGAATGGAGAATTTAAAGATTTCAATTAATTAATAAAGGTTTTCTTGAAATATTTTTATATAAGGATAATAAGCTTTTTATATAATTAAAAAAGATTTAGTTTATTGATATTCAGGAAAGTTTACAATATTCCAAAAATGAAATTAAATCTGACATTAGTATTTTTGAAAATACTTTAATTATGAAATTTAAGTTATTTAAAAATCATAAATGTAAGATTTAAAATTTAGGTATGTCCAATAATTCAATTAATTGATACACATTATTAGAAATAATATTTAATTTATCAATTATGATAATTTTAATTGAATTATTTTAATGTGGATTGCTGTTTTTTTAATTGATATTATAAAATTAATAAATTCCTGCAAAAATTGAAAATTCTCTTGATACTTTTGAAATTAAAAGAAAGAAATTAAATTTTACAATTAATTTAGAAAACAATAAAAAAATATATTGTTTATACTTAAATAGATATAATATAATTTAAGAAATTATTTTTTAGTAAATGAATTAAAACGATTCAACTTAAGAAAACCAGCTTTAAAAATGCATATAGCATCCTGAAAATGATGCAAATTATTTTTGTATAGATAAGGATTGCGAATAAAAAGGATTATGTTGTGATAAATGTATAAATAAAAATTCTCATTTTTTTCATCAATCTCTTGTCTAAAAGATTTCTGATTTGAGTGGGACTGTTAATACATTATTTCAAATAGGTAAATTTAATATCTAATATAAATATTAGGTGAATACTTAAGAGATTTGGGTGAATATACGAATGCATTAGAATGGTATGATTAAGCATTATCAATAAATCCTTAACATATTGATTCACTAATTTATAAAGGTTAAAAAAATAAATGAAGCATTTTTTTAGGTGATTGTTTAGGAAATTTGAATTAATTTTCAGATGCATAAAAATTATATGATTAAGTACTAACCATAAATCCTTAAAATTTTGATTCATTATTTAGAAAAGGTATATTAATATCTAGTTTGATTTTAGGAGAATGCTTAAATTACTTAGGAGAATATCAAGATGCATAGAAATGGTACAATTAAGCATTAATCATGAATCCTAATCATGTAGGATCATTATTCGGAAAAGGTAATCAAATTATTAATATCATATTAGGTGAGTGCTTAACATTAATTGGGTTAGTATATAGATTCATAGAAATAGTATGATTTAGTTTTGGTTATAAATCCTTAACATCTTGATTCATAGTATAGAAAAGGTAAGCAAGTATGTAATATTATTATAGGGGAATGCTTAAGTTACTTGGGATACTTTTTAGAAGCAGAGAAATGTTTTGATTAAGTATTAGTCTATAATCATTAACATGTTGAATCATTATTTAGAAAAGGTAAACAAAATTATATATATATCATTTTAGGGGAATGCTTAAGAAAATTGGGAAGAATCTTTGATGCATTGAAATTTTATGACGAAGCATTATCTATAAGTCCTTAACATATTGATTTATTATTTTAAAAAGGTAAAAATTATATATTTAATATCATTTTAGGTGAATGCTTAAGTTCTTTAGGCTTATATGCAGATGCATTAAAATATTATGACTTAGTATTACTTATTAATCCTTAACATATTAATTCACTATATGGAAAGGGTATTTTAAATCATTTATTTTAGGTATAACCTTACTATCTTTAAACTAAAATAAAAAAGCTCTTATAGTCTTTAAATTAGCTTATCTTGAACTTACAAATCATCCAAAAATAAAAGAATCAATTAGTAATATGCTAACATTATTTTAGAATAATGCAATTATTGAAATCTTATATCCAATTATATTCATTATTTTTATCTTGATATCATTTATTGAATTGTTTTAAATTTTATCCAAAAACAAAAATAAATACCAAATTTTATCTATACATTTAATTGATATTAATAATTATTTTAATTCAATTAAATGCTTATACAATCATGAATTAATGACTATAAATTCAATTTGATTTTTTAAAGCCATATACAAAATTAATCGCAAAATAGATTCAAAATATCTTTAAGAAATTAAAGAGAATTTAGATTAATTCTATTCATAGTGAATGTATAGTAGTATTTTAATATGGGGTAATTAAATAAATTTATTAAATAACTTAATAATAATCTATATAAACATCATTTAATAATTTAAATGTGATTTCTTCATAGACTATGAATCATCAAAAACCTATAATGATTATAAAAAATTCTAATTTTCCATGCTAACTACATAATTTAAATTCAAATACTTTAGTGTTACTCTTTTTTTATTTGAATAAATCAATTAAAGATTTTTAAAGCTAATTTAACTTATAAGGAAACCAATGTAATCCATTAAATTATAATAAGTATAATTTTTGGTTAAATTTAATAACATTAAATAATAAAAATTTAGTTCCTAATTATTATTATTACATGCAACTTTTATCTTTAAATTATATATATTGAAAAATTCTTCAACTATATAGAAGATTGTATAATCTATTTTTTAGAAATGATGCTTATTATTTAGATAAATTAATTTATTTACCTTAATTATCTTATTTATTCAATAGTGAATTATTTCATATAATCAAATACGTAAAAAATTCTTAGTAAATTTTCTAAGCTTTCAAATTCAAATAATCATAATATGAGAATTATATTAAACTTAAAAATGGGAGATTTAAGATAAAAATTACGAATTTTATGAATTGTAAAATTTTTTTGTTATAAAATTAAATATGATCATCCTAAATAATTTATAATGAAAAAATTTTTAAATTATTACTATTTGTAATTAATTAATCAATTCAACGCTAATTTTTCAAAGACAAAAAGTTTTGTTATTATTAATCATCCTAATTTTATACTAAATATTATGCTTATCGGTGAGTTTAGATGGCTTTCTTAAATAAATTGTTATTTTTTAATGAATATACTAAGAAAATAATATTTATACCTTTCCATTAATATGCCACTTCCATATTTGGATTCAATAAAATAGCTTAATCAAGCTAACATATGGCTTCTGTAATTTTTTCTTATGAAATTAAAGTAATTCCTGAGCAATAAAATTATTGTATTTACCTTAATTAATAAGAATATGTGCATCTAAAGGATTTAATTTTAGTGCAATAGTATATTCAATATAAGCCTCATCATACCTTTATAATTAATGTAATGCGTATCCTAATTAAAATGTTAATAAATTCATCAATACCTTTCCAATTATGAATTTCTGAATTTGTAGGGTTTAAAATAATAGCATAATTATATTATATGATTGCTTCAACATATTATTTTAACATAAGTAAAGAAAAACCTATATTATAAATTAAAAATCCACCTTTATTAATATATGATTCAGCATGTTAACAATTAAGTTAAAGTGCTTAATCATAGCAAATAATAGCTTTCTTAAATTGTGCTTGATATTGTAAAGAGACACCTAATTTAATATTCAAATTTACCTTTGTTATAATATAATTCAAAACTACATTTGTTTTATTTTATTGCTTCGTCAAAACAAATTATAGCTTCTTCATATTAGTCTAATTAATTTAAAGCAATTCCTTTTAATTTAAAATTAAATTAATTTTACCTTTATTTAAATAAATTTTTTAATCCTTTGAGTTTAATTTTAAAGCTTAATCAAAGCAAACAATAGCATCCTCAAATCTTTTTAAGTGACATAAAGTTATTCCTTATAAATTTATACATAAATAAACCTTTTTAAACGTGAGTTTCAGAATCATAAGTATTTATTTAAATAGCCTAATCAAATTAAAAAATTGCCTCTTCATATCTATCTAATTAATTTAGTAAAACACCTTGTGATAAAAAAACTAAGAACAATTATTACCTTTTTTAAAGTAAACTTTCTCATTTTCAGTATAAAAGTTTCTATTTTAATCCATATAAATAATTGATTTATCAAATTAATTCAATTACTTTTATTTGTCATTTAATTCTACTAAGTTACAAAATAATACCATCATTATTATTTCTTATTGCATTTCTAAATATGATTATATCTTATAATTAAATCTCTAAAGTTAATCTTACAAATTTAATACCTTTATTAATAAAAAAATAAAGTTACTCTTTACTCAATTATATAGCCTTATCATAACAATCTATTGACTCTTAGTATCTACATAATTAAGTTAATGAGATTCCTAAAAATTTAGTATATTATTTAAACCTTTGTTAACAAATATTTTTATCTCTCTATTACTTATTTTTAAAGCTTTATCAAAACATTCTAATGCTTATTCATATTTTTAAATATAATGTAAAGAAATTCCTAATATAACATAAATTATTTATAATGCCTTTTCCAATTTATGCATCTAAATTTTTTTGATTCAATTTGATAGCTTAATTATAACAAGCCAAAGCCTCTTCATATCGTTCTAATTAAACTAATAAAACTCCTAAAAATTAGCAGAATTCAATTTTACCTTTATTAATATAAGTCTAGGCATTTTCTGGATCTTATTTAAGATTTTAATTATAAGAATTGATTGTATTTTCATATTCCTTTTAGATTTCATGATTAATCTATAAAAAATTACCTAAAATTGTTGAAAAATAATGAAGTACGTTCATTCTTCTAAAATGATTATTCGTTTAATTTTAAAACTTTATCATAAGATGCTAGAGCTTCTTCTGATTTGTTTAAACAATTTAATAAAATTCCTTTATTTAATATTTCTCTTACCTTTTCTATAATATGCTTCTGTGTCATTTTTATTAAGTGTTATAGCTTAGTTAAAACATTGAAGAGACTCTTCATATAATCCAAGTTAAGATAAAGAAATTCCTAATTTAATTAATTTTAGTAACCTTTATAAATTATTGAAATAAGATATGAAGGGTTCAATTATAGAGCTTTATCATAACAAGCTATAGCATCTTTATATTTTGATAAATAATCTAAAGAGACACCTAAATATATTTTTAATTTTATCAAACCTTTATAGGTATATGAAAATATAATTTATTAATAGGTTTAAAGTATTTTATCATAAAAAACTTTTGGTTCTCCCTATTTGTAATCAGTGTTTAAAACCTTTCCTAATTCCATGATAAAATTAAATCATACTTTACTTATAATCATCAAAAAAAGATTTCATGAAATCAATTGATTTAGCATAGTATTCTTTATTTTCTAATTCTTAATTAAGTTTCTAGATATCTTATCCTAATTTCATTCTTTTTGATTTGGTTTATATTTTAATTATATTTTTTTAATAATTAAATTATTACAAAAGCAAATAACCTAGTTTAATACGAAATACAAATATTTATTTGAAATTCAATCATTAATTAATACAATATTAAAAAATTAATTATAGCATATAGATTACATTTCAAAGTTTAGTTTTGAAAGATAGTTTTATATATTTTTCATAAAAATATTAAAGAATAGTTTTAAAATTAATTTAAAACTAAATTGAGATTCTTTAAATCTCAATATGTTATTTAATAAATCAACTCTGTTGACTCTAAAAATTAAAAGCAAATCATTTTTAAAATTCAAGAAATATATAAAACCTCAGAATCTCTAAGTAACTTAGAATAAATATGTATATTAATACTTAAGATGATTAAATTAAGTAATATAAGTTCATATTATTTAAGATATTTGAAATGAGTTAATTATTTGATATTAAATTAAGATACATTTAATGTAACTTTTGAAATATAAAGTTAAGATATACTTATTCAATTAATTCCTTACTGGGTCTTGATTGATTTCATAATAAATTAGTTTTATTATTTTGATTTCTATTACTTTTTTTTTCATAAGTTTTGTGATTTTTATTTATCTTACCATAACTACTTTAATTAATAAATAAATATTTTTAAAATAATTAATGGAGTATCAAAAATAATTTGAAATGTTTAGTTAAATGCTTGATGAATAGTTAGAAGTATAATATATAATTTCTATTAGATTCAAAGTAATCAACTAATATAATAACTGACTCATTAGATTAAATACTAGAAGATTAAATATAAAGTGATCTAAAATAAGCAGAATTTGATATTCAAATCAACTTAAACGTAGTATAATTTGATTATGAATTATTATCTAATACTCTAACTAATGAATTAAATTCATTAATAAAGTAAATGATTTCTGTTTAATCTTAAATTGAAGAATAATAACTAATTCAAAACCAACCTTAGAAAGTTGAATAAATTCAATAGAGTTTAATTTAAGAAGAAAGTCTTATTGAATAATCAAACGAAGTGGAAATCAATAAAGATGAGGATGAGGCAATGAAAGATCAAAACCATATATAAAAATAATAGAAATAAGAAGAATTATAATAATAAGAATAATAATAACAAGAATAATAATAAGAATAATAATAACCAGAATAATAATAATAACAAGAATAATAATAAGAAGAATAATAATAATAATAAGAAGAATAATAAGAAGAATAATAAGAAGAATAATAATAATCATAATAATAGTTATTAAAGAAATCTGAATAATTCTAATTATTAAAATAATAATATTAGTAAAATTAAAGTAATAAAGAAACCGTATATGAACTGATAAAATAACCAAATATTAAGTAAATTGAATAATGTAGAGCTATAGCTTTTAATAAAGATTCTTTAATTGTGGTTTGTGGATGTAATGAGAAGATTAAGATTTTTTAAAATCAATAAGGTAAGTTAAATTAAATACAACTCTTAGCTGAACATAAAAATTTTATTTAAACATTAAATTTCATGAAGAAATCAAACCATTTGGTATCAGGAAGCATGGATAATAATATCATTATATGGTAAGAAAATTCAAAGAATTAATGGAGTCTATTATAGAAGTTAACAGGACATGTATTTTATATATATTGTTTATAATTAAACAATAATGGAGATTTAATTATTTCAGGTAGTTATGATAATACAATAAAATTTTGGAGTAAATAAAAAGGTTGGTAATGCACATAAACAATTACAGATCATAGCAATACTGTTTTAGCATTAAGTTTGATAGAATAATAAAATAAATTAATTTCATGTTCACGTGATTAATATATATTAGTAATTGAATAATAATATTTTGGTAAAAATTGGGTTGTCATTTAAAAATTACACATTGATTAACATGGTCTAAGAATATGTTTTATAAATGACAAATAATTTATATTTTAGCCTTATTGTAAGGAAGAAATGCATATTTTTGAAATTGATAATGATACTAAATAATTTCATAAAGTGAAGAATATATCTGTGAAATGTGGATCAGATCATGATGATTGTTAATTTCCATAATAATATATTAAATCTAAAGATATTCTACTTAATAAAAATGGTAAGTTTATTAATCTTCTTAGAAAAAAATAAAATAGTGAATTTATCCTGGATTAAATAATAGAATTTACAAATTAAGTTAATTATGGTTCATTAAGTGATGATGGACAGTATTTAATAATTTGGGATGGTTAAACAAAAGAAATAAAAGTTAGAACATATAAACAATAATGAATTATCAATTTAAATTATTATTTAACTATAAATTATTATTATTTTTTATAAGTTTCCAAAATATAGAATCATTCATGGCTCTTATTATTAATTAGATATAAATGAATGAAGTCTTATTAAAGTTACCCAAATATATTGTTTAATTTAATGATTAATATTTCTTATTAGATAAAATTTGATATTATTTCTCTAGATAAAATATTATTTGATTTATATGAAGAATAAATATATTGTTAATTTTATTTATTTAATTGTTATAAAAGTAGCTCATTCACTTATATATATTTCTTTAACTTTAATATATCTTGGATATTCTGAATATCTTTTAGTTTTTATAATACAGGAGAATCGTAACTTTTAATTGAATTCTAAAATTAATCAAATACAAATGCAAAAATTTGTGGAATAAAATATATCTAACGAAATGACAGGAAATATAATATATTTAGTTATATGATTATGCAATATTATCAAATATTCTTATGATATATAAATTATATCGATCTATAATGTTGAAATTATTATTTATAACTACATTATTTTAATAAATATAATTATTCTTGATAAATTATGAATAATTATTTGTTATTTATATTTATCAAGCTTTATATATTTGATCAAATATAAATAATTCAACATTAATTTATATTTTTATTTAAAAAAATCAAATATTTTGAAAATTTATATGCAAAAAATCATTATTAAGATTTTAAGTCATACAGAAATTCCATTAAATTAAGAATCATTTCTATTAAATCATATAATTATGGATTAACTCTTTTTGCTTTTAAATCATCAACTGGCACTTCTATTTTATGAGTTGATGAAACAGAAAAAAGCAGTAACTGAATTAATAAAATATAAATTAGAAAAAATACAACATTCATTTGAAATAAGGGGCAATTATTCGCTAGTAAATAATAATAATAAAATAGATATTTAAAGTATTGGAAATGAATAAAATATTAATTTATTTTAAACCTATTAAAAATAATATCAATTCTATAATAAAGATTCTAATTATAATATACTAATACTTAAAGTAAAAAGTATTTTTTTCCATAATTAAATCTTTATTATGTTCACTTGATCAAAAGTATCTTTTGATCAGATTGGGTACATCCCACATTTTTGTCATCAGGCATAAAAAAGCCAGATTACATTATCAGAAAAATGGCAATCTAAAAGAATAGTACTTCTAAACATTAAATTATTTTAAAAGAAAAATAGATGGTTGCATAATATTTAGTATAAATAATAGAAGACTTTTAGTACTATTATAGAATTATTAATTGTCATTTACTTTTCTCTAATTTCTAGAAACATGAAGAAAAAACGGAATAATGAATTTTCTTTTAAATGAAAAGTTAATTAGAAAATAAAATAATTTCTTTGCAAAAATTCGATAATAATTGATGATTAACAAATTTACCTTGGTTCTCAGATGATTTTTTATTCTTACTTATTTTATTAAAAAATAACTCAAATGATTTATTCATTTATTCTATTTGGTAAAAGAATTTAATATTATTTAATTTTTATTTATATATTATTTCTAATATCTAAATGATTAAAATTATAGTTTAATTAGCTCTATTTTAATTCAATAATCATAATTTATTTCCTTGCTAAATTTTAATACTATAATAAAATACTAACATTTTAAAATTTCCTCTAATATCTACCTCCTCCCATGTACCAATTTTTTTATCATTTTTGTATTCACCAATAAAAGTTACTTAATAAACCCAACTAAATAAATCACTAGCTTCAATCCATTTTCCAACTTTAACAGATTCAACATTAACTATTGGGTCTTTATCATAAAATCCTCCACCACTAAAAATAGATATGTGAAAATAATAGTATTAATGTTACATCTTTTTATTTTTTCCATTCCATTAAAAATAAATATCCCATCTACCTACCTTATTACCATTCTAATATTCACCCTCAAAAATGATTAAACTAGAAATGTAATTACACTACAATACCTTTCAAAATTATCCCTTAATTCAATCCATTTTCCAATTTTTATTTATCCTAAAACCCTATCATCTTCATATTCACCACCACCACTAATTTTACAATAGTTTTTAAATAACAATATAAATGTTTTAATTTTACATCTATTAAAATTTCTCAAAATGTGATCCCTTACATAATAAATCCCATCTACCAACCTTTCTTCCATTTTTATATTCTCCATTATATATAATTTATGCTTCACTTAATAATTAAATAATCACACTAAAAATAAAATACCTATTAATTCCACAACTTAACTCAATCCATTTTCCAATCTTAACTTCATATACAACATCTTCACTTTATAATGTGTCATCATATAATCCACCACCACTATAATATTAAATGATAAATATGTATAGAAATATAATAATCTATTCTTACATCAAAATCCTTTAATCTGATTTCCACCTTTTTTATAAAATATATGTATCCCATTAACCAACCTTTTTACCATATTTATATTAACCATCATAAATCATTAAAACTTAACTAAAATTAGACATTACTACATACCTATTATATTAATCACTCAATTCATTCCACCTACCAATCTTTACATCACATCCATTTTTTTATATCTCATCATATAATCCACCACCACTTGAACAATTCAATAATTTAATTTTAAAATATATTTAATTTACACTTACATGAATGTAAATTAATCAGTTTACCAATCTTTAAATAAAATATCCCATCTACCTATCTTTTTTCCATTCTTATATACACCATTATAAATAATTTGACTATCACTAATAATTTTATATTCATATACAAAAATACTTCTAAAATCCAGCACTCAATTCAATCCATCTATCAATTTTAATTAATTCATTCAAATTATCTTTTGTATTATCTTTATCATCATAAACACCACCACCACTATATATATTTTTATAACCATACATTAATTCAAATGGTAATTTATTATTTCTTCTAAATAAAATATCCCATCTACCAACTTTTTTCCCATCTTTGTATTAACCATAATCAATAATTTAACTTAAACTAAATATATGCATAAAACACATATACGTAGAAAAATCCTCATAAACATCCATCCACGTTCCAATTTTCATTGAATTCAATATATTATCATATTATCCACCACCTCTTATAATAGTTAATGTTAAATTAATTAATTTACATATATTTATTCTTGAACAAAATACTCCATAATCCAACTTTTTGATCATTTTTATATTCACCAATAAAATTAACCTAACTATTTCTATTAATGTAATATCATTATGATTTTTATATACTCCCAAAATTCTTCAGATGGAATGGTCCATTTTCCTGTTTTTTAACCCTAATTATTATAAAATCCTCCACCACTAAATAATATATAAATGAATACATTCTTTTATTGCTGTATACATACTGCCATTCTGCTCTTCTCAAATTATTGAAATAATATCCACAATAATAGACTTGAGCATTTCTATCAATTATAATTAATAATTTATCTAACTTCTAATAATTTTTAGTTAGTTCTTTCCACATACCCTACTTTAATCCATCATTAAAATATCCTCCAACATTTTATAAGAGTTGCCCCTACCAACTTGCTGTCCATTTACTAATTTTGTTATTTTATTATCCATATTCCTCTTTCCATTTAAGATATTTAATTTAATCCATAGTGGTCAATATTTATGAATCCTTCTAAGATTCTCTTATTTATTCATTATTTGTATTTATCAAGATGTCTTAAACTCTCAAAATTACTCCATTCTAATTATAAATTAATTTATTGTTTCCAGTTGTTATGATTTAAATTCTTAACTTCTCAACTTAATCCTTAATTTCATATTCTTAGATGCCTTAATGACATTATATTGTTTTTAAAAAAGTCAATAATGGATTCATCTTTTTAAAATATTAATTTATATTTTTATCTATTTTAACCCTATTAAAATAAATGAATGTATATATACGATTAAACATATTAATTTTATTATTATTGTTGAAATAATTCATTGAAACAATTTTTAATTCTTTTCCAAATCAATATTTTCCTATAAGCCATAATTAAAAACTAATATATTAATAGTTTCTACCTTCAAAATTATTTAATATTTCATAATCTAAGTTTTTCAACACTTATTATCATACTTACTATTATATTTTGGATTACTTTATTTTATATCATCTATAAATTATCTTTAATTAATAGTGTTTGAATGTTGTTCTAACATGTTATTTTGAAATTTTTCTTGTTATTATATCAATCTTATATTTTGTCTATAACAGATAGTTTGAACAATTAAAATCAACAATCTAATTCCAAAAATTAGTTTTATTTAATTATTTTGAATTTTGACTCATGTTATTAATAACTACTTTGGAATATTTTCAATAATAATAATACAAATATTTCTACTTTAAACTTTTTTTTAAGGTTTAGGATGGATGCATCAATAAATACTTTTAGGGAAAGATGTTTTTTTAAGGATATTTAGTTTTACAAAAATAATTGTTTTACTTTTATAATTATTAATTCTAAGATTGGGATAACTAAATCATAAACAAAATAATACTCCTTTAATACAATAAAGTCTCTAATTGATTAATATTTTTACATTTACTTTAATAATTATTCAATTCTAATAGATTCTTATTATAGGTTTGAATAAATTAATTATAAATCAAAGATTGATATTGTAGTTCCTTATTTAATTAAAATAAAATTAGTATATTTTGTCTATTTGTTGAAATATTATATTGTCTAATTTTCTTAAGAATAAATAATCAGTGAAAGAAAAAAAATTTAACGTTATATCAAAGTATATTAAATTATCATTATAAATACTCAAAAATAAGCGAAGTTTCTTAAAATAAGAGAATTAATATTATATTTTATTTCAAATATGAATAAAAATTGTACTATCTAATTTTAATATAGTCCAAGTATTTTTGAATAGAAACAGAAGTTTAACTTTTAAAAATTATTGAATTGAACAAAACTTTTGAATAATTCATTATATTCTATCAAATATATAATTGTTCTTTCTTACTTGAAATCATTAATATTTTTCATTATCAATCAATTTAAAAATTTTTCAATAAATAAAACTTCTGATCATTTGATTCTCTCTCTATTTTTCAATATTTTTATGGTTTCATTGATAATTTAGATTTTTTAGATGCCTAACCATCAAGTATATATATTTTCATCTATTTTCTATAAGGTTGTTTCTATAAATATTCTTTTTTCTTAAATCTTACCTTGGTAATTTAAGTAATTAAATTTTTCATTTGTTAAGATTATTTAGCTCTTCAAAATTGTTCTTAAATTTTACTTTGATATGTATTTAATAAAATTCATAATATTACATGATAAAAATAAAATACGATATTGTCTATAACAAATATATATTTTCCTAAACAGAAAATATATATTTATTTTAATTATATATATTAAAAAAAATGATAGAATTCCTAAAATTCAAACGAAATGTCATTTATGATTTTGATCGAATTTTCAGACAACAAAGGGTTTCATTCTAATAAGATTTTACAAAAATGGCAAAATAACTGATCGAAGAAAACTAAAAGTCTATCATTGATAAAATAAATAATCTTCTTAATGAAAAGGAAAAATAAATCAAACATATAAATTAATATGAATTTCAGAGAGAAAGATAAAATTAATAAAGAGACTACATTGAATAATAAATATCATTTACAAGAAAGGAAGTTTTTATTACATTATTAATGATGTATACAAATTCTATTGAATGCAAGCTATAGAACAAAATTTAATAACATGGATTTAATTAAATTAATATGGAATTAATAAAATAAGGAGCTACAATATAATCTCAAGAAAAGCTTAAATGTATTCATTCATATTTTATTAATTTTTACAAAAACTTTTTGAAAACAAATGAAAGTGAAAACTTTTATAAGCCAAATGAAAATGATATGGAAATTAAATAAATTGAGAACTAAATAGAAATGTTATAAAGATAAATAAACTAATTACAAATCTAAAAGTAATCCATAGAAGAAAAGAGATAAAATTAGGCTAAAGGAAATTAAATTAATGAATTAACACAAATAATAGAATTTATTAGAAGAACTGAATTGAGAAGTTATGGTGAAATATTTAAAGAATATTAAAATAAGATAAGTTAATTTGAATCACATACAGGGAGATGTGAAGATAAAGTAAATTCAATTTTAGTAAATTTTGCTGATAGAAATGTAGGTGGTTTGAGTTTAGATGAGAGAAATATAGCTTAGGAAGAAGTATAAATTTGATTTAATTTAGATTTTAATGTTAACACATCCAGAAGCTATAATAAGCATGTTATTGTTTAAGCATCCTATGGAAGATAATGAAGCTATTTTGATTAAAAATGTGATAAGATTTAATGATTATGATGGATATGAATCAACTTTCAGATGGAAAGATGAACAATATATTAATCCATATCAAGAAAAATTTAATATAGATAGAACTGATAATAGATTGAAACAAGATAATTTATAATCCGAAATTTATGAGAAAAAATTAATTAAAAATCATATTTTAGTATTATATTATAATAAATTAGTGTATGGATGCAAAATGTTATCGTGATTGGATGACACAATTTGAATTAATAAATATAAAAAGAGAATTGCTTAAAAGTTATGTTGCATTTTCTTTAGCCCTTTATTACACCAAAAATGAAGTTATTTCTACTGGAAAATGGGGTTGTGGTATTTTTAATGGAGATTCTCATTTAAAATTTTATATCTAATTATTAGCATTTTCCAAAGCGCTTTAAAACAATAATAGAACAATAACCTTCAGTTCATTCAATGATTTAGACTTACAAAAATTCATATAGCAAGAAAAAGATTATTTATCTCGTTCTTCTTAAAATAAGATAGAATATCTAAAAAATAGAATTGAATTAAAGTAGTAATAATTGTTAGGCAATTACAGAAATTCTTGATAGTAAAATATGTTTTAAAAAAATCAATTATTATTTACAATTATATCATAAATGCATATAAAAGTAAATAACTAATTTAATATTTGAAAGTATTAAATCATAAAGTTTCAAAGTAAATAATCTAAACAATAGGATAATATGTCTAATAAATAGGATTTTAAATATAGTTTTTCATAACTAGAACATAAATTATAAGATTACAATATTCTCTGTATATATTAATATTTTAAATCATATAAAGCAATACATCTACATAATGATATACATTCATCCATTTTTGATTCCACCTCCTTATCCAATATTAATAGCATAACTCTCCTAATCTTGTTGAAATCATCTTAATAGTTAACCATTCTTTTGAAATCTCTCTAGTTCTTCTTTCATAATTTATTTAATCCTTTTATTATTTCACCAATATAAGTTTATTATACCATTTATGTGTTTCCTGATTTAAATCACATTCTATTTTAAATAAATAATATTCCACTTTTAATTAGATTGATTTATTTAATCTAATTTTTTGGATCATATTTAATCAATAGTTTAATCAAGTTTTGAATTGTAAGTACATTAAACCTTAAAATTTTAATTAACAATTCCAAATTTTTTTTTATCTTCTCTTTAAAAAATTTCAGATATCATTTTAAATTAGATTAATTTATATTTTTTTCCTAAAGTAATACTTTTTAGAATTAAAATTTGAAATATTTTCTTTAGCTTTGAATTTATAGCAATACAATTAAATTAATTAATCAATATTTTAATAGTTTCTAATACTTTTTCTTAACTTCTATAATTTTTTTCATTCTAATATCTTAAAAAATTTCTCTAGAAAATCAAAATATTTAATAAAATCAAAATAAAATAACATAACTAAATAATTAAAAAAGTAAATAGTTGTATAACAATTTAAATAAGCGTTCTTATTAGAGAATTAATAGAGGTTTAATATGATGCTCAATCCAATTCTAATAAAGAGTAATGTTTGATGTTTTTTGAAATCTTCTTCATAAGATAAATTTTTTCTAAAAAAAATATCTTTCAAATTATTGATTGTTGATCGATAGATTAAAATTACTGAATTTCAAGTATTCAGATAAAATTTTGGTTGAAGTTTTATTGAAATTTAAACATCATTTTACAACTTAAGTTAAAGTAATAGCTTAAAAGCCCAAAGCGCAATTAAAATTTGTTTAAGCGTTCTCTGATCTTAATATACTAGAGATGCTTTTTGAATTAAGAAGCAAAATAGATTCAAATCCTGTTTTTTCATTACTATTTTAAATATATCACGCAATAATTCAAAGATATGTTCATTAATAGTAGAAAAAATTGATTTTAATCAAATAACTCTAATTTAATTTTTGAAAACGTCAAGGAAACTTTTAATTTCATGATGGTATGCTTTATTACATGTGATTGAAAATGCTGTTAATTGTTCAACAGTTTATAAGAAATTTTATTTTTTAAGCTTTCTTTGAATATGCAAAATATAAATTATAGAAAATTAATTTGTACAAAAACACAAGAAAAATAATATTAGGGGTTTTAAAGCAAAATAATGCCATTAATCGAGTATTAAATTTAGCAATTCTATTATGGCAATATCTTAAAATAATTATTTTTTAAATAACTCAATAATATTTAACATATTTTTATAAGGTGTGACTTGTTATGCGTTTTTCTGATCCTAAATTGCTTATTGATAGTATTTCTTTAATTATAAATACTCTCTTTTATATATTTTATAATGATATTTCTGCTGATTAAATAAATTTTTATTTGAATTGTTCAGACATAAACATTATTATAATCTAACCATAATACAGCATTAAAAATTTTAAATTATACTTATCATTTTCATTTTTAAAAAGTTGGATTGCTTTTGCTCCTCTCAACTTGAGGAATAATCTGGAATAATCTTTTTAATTATAAACTTTTGATAATTCATAATATCAAGACATTTAAATTAATCTTTAAAGTTAGGATATTCTACCCATAATTTCAGGAACTTTTTAAAAGGCTTATAATTATTCATTAATTACATTAAATATAAATATCATAAAGTTATCAAATAATTTACAACTTTTCCAAAAGTTATCAATTCTTATTTATGAAATCTTCCCTTCGCTGAAAACTCAGATAAAACTCTTCATTTATTTTAGTTAAAGAAGGTTTGCTTTGGGATACAGCAATTCCGATAGAATAATTTTGGTGTAAGTCTCATGGGAGAAGGCACATATAATAAATATTTAAAAATTACAAAAATTGATCTCTTTATTAAAAAAAATGGTGATCTCTAAAGAGAGGAAAGTTTGATGAATATATATTTAAAAGTTAGATTGTTAAACATTATGATACTATTAACATTTCAGCCCTCAAATTCAACATATTAAATAATATAACTAAATAGATGCTGATTAAATTTTTATTTTAGGTCTTTGTAATAATGCTCTTGATTAGGAGAGTTCAATTCATTCAATCGGATCCCTAAAAATTAGGTTGATATATAAGGCTGCTACTTTTTTAAAAATGACAGTTAATTATTTTTAAATAATCTTGATTTATTTATATTACTTTAAATTAACAGAAGCTTTATTAATCTTGTACCAATATCAATGAAACTAAATTGATTATTGTTATTATCAAAATCATGTTAGACAAACTTCTGCTTTCAGATGGAAAAGGTGAGATTTTACTAACTCCCCTTGTTAGTGGCCTTAGAGTAAACAGGAACATAACTAAGACCATCCCTGGTTCTTGAGATGGGATCATTAGTCACGATCTGGGTTCATCCCTATAGGCAAGAGAATGAGAGATGGGATGGATATCCTCTTCATCTCCAGGTTAATGGTCGCCACATGTGCGTAACAAGTGAACACGTAAAACTTGTGATGCATTATCACCATTCTAATAAGGGGTATATCCCCTCATGACATCATCCTAAAATTTTTACAGAATATTCCATCAATCTATAGCAGCAGGCTTTCCACCACACCTTCATGTTGACACTTCAAGCTTAATATACAACTGGCCTTGCAGCTGAAGTTCCAATAATTATAGACTCCACGATATATGTAAGATAGTTCATTCATTAACTCATCCTTCTCAAGTCTAAAGGTTTGTTATTCCACACTCACCTAGATAATGGATTGTACAATGCACGAATCAGTTGGCCTTTCGATACCCATGAGTTGTCAGCTATATGCCCATACTTTACTTGAAAACCACCATTCCCTCTACTTCAGGTCTCAAAAAAACATTACTATTTAATTACTATTATTTCCTCACTTTATCTAGATTGCAATGCCAAACGTAGCCAGCAAATATTTCCGATCACAGCAGCATTATGAATACAGGTAAGTAATTATAACCAAAACAAAAACAAGAAATAAGAAGATTTTTGATTTTTTTCAATTATTAGTTCAACTCATAATTATTGATAAAATTTTATTTAATGTGGGTCAAATAGATTATAGTTAACAAATCAATACTTTTGAGGACATAAGAATTGAAGAATATTACTTTGATTGGTGGAAATTTTAGAGTATTGGAATTTGAAAATCTAGCCATAAGTAGGTTAATTTAAATGGGACTATATTTGTTAAAATGTGAAAAGAAGAAAATGTAATCTAAACTGAATTATTTGCAAGAGCATGAAGAACCTGTCTCATCAATATGCTTCTTACCAGAAAGAACGAAATTTCTGATTTTTTTTCTATTTAAATGAATTTTTGTTGTACTTTACGTTAAAAAAAAATTTATTAATTCTTTCGTATTCTACTTTGAATAGAGAATTATCGATAAATAAAGCTTCAATTTAAAGGATGGTTTTTGGAAGAGTAACAATTAATCTATTCTCAAAATATATGAGAAGCATTATCAATAGTCCATGATCTTGACTTAGCTGTTTAAAATTCTTAATATAAGCATTCAGTCTTGTTAGGGAAAAAAATGTTGTTTATAAAAAGGAAAATTTTGATAAATTTTTCATTTGTTTTGAAAAACTAGTTTCTTAAATATATTATATTTTGTCCAAAGTAGATAATAAAAATTTTAAGCAAATCTATACCAACTTAAATAACATTATTTGAAGATATTTTACTGCATAATATTACAGCAAATTTTATTTCAACCCATTGTTTAGTATAATTATTTATTTATATTATACTCATATTCAATTAAATTAATGATCTTTGTGCTATAGTTCAGGTTTAATGCTCATTAAGAATTAGAAAATAGATCCTAAAAAATTTTCTATTTTTGAATTTTGAAAATTAAAAATGAAGGATATCTATTTGCATTTCTTTGAATATCTAAAAGGAAAATCAAATTGAAATTTTCAGTCTTAACCTTCAAGCTTTAATAATGGATTTTCAAAATAATTAATTTAATACTGTTAGTAATTTGTTGATTTCGTATAAAAATGCACTGAAGAATATGAAATTATAACTATATTCAAAAATGGATAAATGGGAATATTATCTTGCCTGGTATTAAATAATGAGATGAAAATCCTGTTCTTATTCTTTTTTATCAAATAATTTAATGAATATATGCAAATGAAAGAATTAATTATCTTGGAAAATAATGAGTATAAGAAAAATACTTAATATATCATGGTAAGTGAGAATGTATTATAAGGGAGGTGAAAAAATTTTGGATAAAAATCGAATTCGATTTTGAAATCCAAATCGATTTAAAACTTCATGATTCGAGGGAATGGGTCTGAGCGCAAGCAAGGAACCTCTCCTACGATGAAGTGATTTTTAAACGTTTTGGATAAATTAGTTGTATGAACATTGTCTTCATTCAACTAAATCAAAGCGAGTTCGTATCCATACAGGCAAACATTTTTAATGACTTGCCGACAAATTCATCTTTCTTACTACTACAATAGTTTACGACTAAAGGCTATAATTCGAATAGAGTTGTAGCTGTAAGCGGACAGCTTATTGTATAGCCAACTTAGCAATACGTCTAAGGTGGTAAAAAAAGGTTGGTTGCATTATAATCAGAGAGAAATTGAAGATTAATGGTGCAATTAGCAATAAATAT